TTAAAAAAAAATTTTTTTATAGTATGCACTGTATTTTTTGTTCACACCAGTGTATTATTGTTGGTTACTGTGTGTGTGTTCTCTTAATGTAGTGGCTAAGGCATTGGGTCTCATTCAAGTTTGCTAGGTTTGAGTCCTGGCATTTCTTTAAGTGAGTTGTTTACCCACTTTGTGCTTCAGTTTTCTCAGCTCCAAAAATGGGAGTTGTGTGTGAAGCACATATCTGTCTTCTCAGCATTCCACAGATTGAGGCCAAAGGACGAAGAGTTGGAGGCCAGCCTGGGGTCCATAGTGAGACCTTGTCTCCAAAAAAAAAAATTAATGAAAGTAAAAAGAGCAGAAACGGAGGTAACAGTGGTAGCTACCCTAAGATGATCTCAAATAATAAATGAGGTAATACTGTACATGTAAACTGCTTAGCCTACAGTGCTAAACTAAGCCTGTAATAAGTGAATGACGTCTCTCCAGTCACTGTTCTAGTCATAGGCGGTTCTTCAGAGAATGGCAGTTGGCAAGCTTTATGATACGTTAGGGTTAAAAGTCTGGACGTTGCCTACATCAAGTTCAATGAACTAAGAAAAGGACATTGACATTTGAGTTGGGGTCTCACTGTGTTGCACAGGCTGGCTTGATGCCTCAGCCTCCTGAGGAGCTGGGATTACAGGTGGATGGCATTGTGCTGGCCCAAAAGGATATTATTTTTGAAAGCAGTTCTTTAGATTTATTAATTTATGGTAGGTACACTATCTAGACTTTTTTCTTGGCCTGGTGAAAACTAGTTTCTCTTACATTTTAATTTTATTTAATTCTTAATTTTTATTTACATTTGAAATTTATTTTTTCTAATTTTTAACACAGATTTGTATTTTGATTTTTAAATATTATTTTAAAAATTGTGATAAAATATGCATAACATAGAACTTACTGTTTTTAAGCACATAGTTTAGTTGCATCAAGTGCATTCGCATTATTATCTAGCCATCACCACCATTCATCTTGAGAACTTTTCTCATTTTCCCAAACTGGGGTCCCTTTCAACAGTAACTCTGTTTTCCATTTCCTGAATCTTCTTGTGGGGACCATTCTTTCTGTTTCAGTGAATTTGACCACCTTAAGTACTTCATATGAGTATAATCAGATAACATTTGTTTTCTTGTGATGAGGTTTATTTAGCACAGTGTCTTCAAAGTTCATGTTGTATGTGTTAGAGTTTCTGTCCTTTTTAAGGCTGAATAATATTCCATTGGATGTATATACTACCCTTATTTATATATCAGTCTGTCAGTGGACACTTGGGTTTTTTTTGCCAATTGCTAAGAATGTAGATGTACAGATAATACTTTGAGACAGAAGTGAAATTTCTGAATCATATGGTAATTCTTTATTTTTTAAAGAATTTATATGTTGTTTTCCAGATTATATGCCCCACATCTAACAGTGTAGAAAGGGTTCCATTTCCTGTTTATCTGCAGCCAGCCCCCATAGTCCCCGCTGTCCTTGTGGATGGGAAGTGCCATGTCATTGTGGTTTTGACTGACATACGTGCTGCTGAATTTGGCTGGCTATTGACTTTGCTGAGGATTTCTGCATCAGCTGCATCAGTGATCATACTGAATGCTGGTCTGTGATTTTCTTGTACTGTCTGTTTGGTTTTGGTATCAGGGCCATACATGTCCTTACAGAATGCATTACAAAGTATTCCTTCAGCTTGACTTTTTTAGAATGTTTATGAAGGATTGATGTTAGTCTTCACAAATTTGGTAGAATTTACCATTGAAGCCAGCAGATACAAAGTTTGCTTTTTCAGGAGGTTTTTGAATACATACTGATTCTATCTTCTTGCTAGCTAGAGTTCTGTTGAGATTTTTCTATGTCTTTATGGTTCAGTTTTCATAGGTTTTGTTTCTGAGAATTTGTCTGTTTTATACAGTTGGTTGGCATAGTTATTTACAGTACTCTTGGTTTCATTGATTTTTCTGTATTATTCCAGTTTCTATTTTATTTGTGCCTAGTCTTTTTTTTTTCTTTCTGCTAGATTTGGGTCCAGTTCTTTTTTTTTCCTTGCTAGTTCTGAAGATGGAAATTTCAGTTGTTGATTTAAAAGTTTTCTTGTATTTTGAGCTATAAACTTCTTTTACAGTACTTTTTCTAGGTCTCATGGATTTTGTTGTCATGCTTTTGCTTTCATTTGTCTTTAAAGGTTTTGTAATTTTCTCTTGTGATTTCTTTTTTGTCTCAATGACTAAGAGTGTGTTGTTTAATTTCCACAAATTTATGAATTTTCCATTTTTCTTATTGAGTCTTTACTTTATGTTTTGAGGTTGGAGAAGAGACTTTGTATGATATTTATCATTTAAATCCTGTTGAGACTTGATTTGTGGCCCAATATGTGGTCTACCTGGAGAATGTCCCATGTACATTTGGGAAGAATGTGTATTTTGTTCTTGGGTACAGTTTTCTGTATGTATTTGTTAGATCTAGTTGGTTTATTGTGTTCAAATGCTCTTTCTTCTGTCAGGTTGTTATATCCTTATTGACAATAGAGTACTGAGGTCTCTATTATTGTAGATTGTTATTTTTCTAATTGGTTAATTTTTGTTTGTGATGGTCTGTTATTAGGTGTGTAAAACTTCTCAATTGCTCTATCTTCTTCGTCTGTTGAACTATTTACTAATATATAATGTACTTTGTCTTTGGTAACCCTGTTTTGGTTTAAAGTCTGATACTAGTATAGACGATCCTGTTCTTTTTTGGTTACTGTTTACTTGAATATATTTTCCCATCCTTTGACTTTGTACTCATTTGTGTCTTTGTCTTGTTTTATTTTTGTGGTACTCAGAATGGAACCCAGGGGTGGATCATTTTTATTTATCCATTCATTGAATTTCTCTCTTCTTTTTTTTTTTTTGCCAGTGCTGGGGATCATATTTATCTGTCTTTTGATTGGCAAATTTCATTCATTTACATTTAAAGTAATTACTGATAAGGGACTTGTTACTGTTTATTGCTGATTTCTATATACCTTACTGCTTTTTGTTCCTCATATCTTATACGTTTTGATTTTTATAGGGGTAATAGAGAGAGCTCACTAGACTTCTATAGTAGGCGGTATGATAAAAAATACAGTGAACGTTTCAAAAAATATTATAGTTGCACATTGCCATTAATCTCCCTCAAAGTACTTTCCCTTGCTTTGAACACGCTTATTCCATCTTCTTGGCACTTTGTGAAGTAGTTTTGAAGTTGTTTGTCATGAGTGTCTTTAGTTGGGCTGTTATGGTTG